AATGGATATTCCATACAGAGGTTACACCTTAGTAGATCTTCTTCCTCTAGTAATTTGGCTTATCCTCCTAATTTTCATAATCGATCTGTATGTTATGAGATGTATATAATATGCACAGTCATCATCAATATGTTAGAGAAAATGATTATGATATTAATGTTAATGATTTCACCGAAATGGAAATAAGTAGATGTGATGAAGAGCCAAATGGAGAAACAAAAAAGTTTTACAAGTTGATAAATAAATTGATTTGATAACTTTATGAGGGATCAAAATATTTAAAACTCTCTTTTTTGCTTTCGTCTTTTCCACTTAAAAAGCTTGGGAGGATGGATCGGTAACTATTTTATGTAGTTATTAGTGTTTCTAAGAGAAATGTTTCCTTTTGCAAAAATCCCTTAGTCATGCAAAGATATAAAAAAAGTGATAAAGGATTTGAGCCTTGGTTATGAGAAAATTCATAGTTATCTGAATGATTGCATGTTGTATTAGGGTGATCGAAAAAACTACGAGTACTGTCATGTAAGAGAAAAATCTCGTTGAATGAATAAGGACGCGACAAATGTGAGTGAGGATGAAGTTGAAACGCGACAAATGTGAGTGAGAAAAATCTCGTTGAATGAATAAGGACGCGACAAATGTGAGTGTGGATGAAGTTGAAACACTATCAGTTTTCTATTGGTGGATGAATCATATATAGAGGTACTAATTAACTTATATGTATTTAATTTCTATTGAATATATCTTTTAATTAAAACTATTTATATAATGTTATGATTTATGTCTAGGTTTTTGTGCAAGTTGAACTTTTACTATCATAATAAGCATTATCTAGAAGGATCAATCGATGAAGAATATTTGTTAGAGGAGTATATGACTTTTTACTCTAGATATTTGGAAGATTTTGAAACAAGATTGAATAAACCAAATAGAAATGAAGTGTCCAATATGAATAACTTAGTTGAGACTTATTTGTTTGGAAGTTATTATGAACCACTTGATAAAGTTAAAGTTATACAATTAGATGATAAGTCTTGGGTACAAGCACACATATATGTTCTTTTTTATCACGATTCACTATATCCCTTATGTACGTAAGTTTCACAATAGAAATCCTAGTGTATTCACTTAATATTTTATATTTCTCATTCTTTAACCACATAATATACTTTATAGTGAGTTTAAAGAAGTCTTGAGATCTCGTTCAATCTCCCAAAGATTATATCAATAAGAGATTCATAAGTTACTCATAGAAATTTTCATGAATGGTTAGGGCAGACGGTAAACAACTAAATCCTTGCACGATACATATATCATGTATAACTTTTTTTGTTTTAATATATTGATATAAATACTAACTAATTCACCTTTCATGTGTAATAGGTCTGGAGTAGGAGAGAAGTTAGTGAAGAGGTTAAATGGCTTTCTCAAGGTCCGAATAGAATTGCTAAAAGATATAATGTCTTCCACATTAATAGGTTCATGTTCCATACGAAATATCATGAAATATTAAGGAGGACACAAAATTGTGGAGTAGTTGTTACTTCTTCAACTATAAGTTATGCTAGTGCTATAGACAATTATCTTATAGAGGGAGATGAAGAATATTATGGAATCTTTACGAATATTATTGAGTTGGATTATTATGAAAAATGAAAGCTTGTGTAATTTAGGTGTAATTGGGCTGATGTATACTAATCAAGGCATTAAAAAGATCAATTAGGTTTTAGAATGGTGAACTTTTCTCGGTTAATTCACACTGGTCAATAGTTGATGGACGAGCCAGATTTATTTTTTTCTCAAGTTAAACAAGTTTTATTATTGCCACAGTCCAATGGATGAGGCTTGATATGTTGTACTCCGTAATACCCCATGAGACTTGATAGACATTGGGGATCAAAGTAGAGATGATGTTTAAATAAGATCAGAAACTTTTCCTTATGTCGCACAAAGCTTAGATGAAACTCTTACTATTACTAGTTCACAATTTCAATGGGTTTGAGACTAGGGACGAAGCTAGGATCAAATTTTGAGGGGTAAAATTATTTTAAATAAAAAGAACAATGAGCTATTAAATATTTAAATCTAAAAATTGGGAGGGCAAAAAGTCTTATTTAACTAATATTTAAACTAAAAAGGACCTAAACTGCCATTATAGCAAAACTTTTGGGAGGGGCAATTAACACTCTCAACCATCAAGTAGTTTTGTCCCTGTTCGAGATGACATAGATGAAGATATTTATGAAAAATGATATGAAATAATAATATAATAAGATTTTATATCTTAATTGATTAATTGATAATATTATAACTATAACTTGAGGTCATTGAATATATCTATTAAAAGTATTATTTTAACTAGTTATTGATATTGTTCTTTGTTTATTGCATATATTATACCTATGAGGAAATTAAGTGACATGTGGATTGTTTGAACTCCTCAAGAGAAAGAAACAAATAATGAAGAACCAATTGGTGTTGGACCTTTGAAAGTTCTGAATACGGTTGAAGAAACTATAGAAATTGAAGGTAATGTCTGACACTTTATAAATATTAATGGTGGTTAATTTTTCTTATTGACGTAATTTTGAAATCTTGCACTGAATTATTTCTTATGTAGCTGAAAATTGTCAAAAGTGCAAGACTAGAGGTTTCACGATAATGAAAGGTTTATACCAACTTTCTCTTGGGGACAATGTGAAAGTTTCGAGTAATGATGTCAGCCAACCTATTGGGACAGAAGCACGTGTTCTATCTGGTTACTTAGGCATGATTACACGCAATGCTCATCTTCTACCAATCCATTATGAGTCATGGCGTGAAATACTAAATAGTAACAAAAACCAGACTATGGATTTGTATTAAGGCAATAATTTAATTGTAATACGTAATCCATTACAGTTCAATATTAATTGAATATTTGTGTTATTTGTAGGATAAATTTTCTCTAAAGGTCTTAGATGATTATTTGAAGCAACCATTAGGAAATAAATGAAGAAACCATAAGAGTTCCTTAAAAATTATTTATTTTAAGAACATTCTCAGCCTTGAAGAAAAGCTGCAAAATTTCCTACCTGGAATGCTCGGATATCAATGGGAAGATGCAATCATGTTTTGGAGTTCAAAAAAGGGAGAGGTATGATGCATTTTAAAAAAAATATATTATATCACTATAACATTGGCTTTATAATTCATGTAAATTTCAAATTGTAGGACTGAGAGCGCGTTTGTATTGCTAGTAGATAACAACAAAAGTTTACTCGCACAATTGGATCGAATAACTTTGCCTGTGTAACTCATGACAATGCATTCTTTTTTTAATTATGATTGTTCACATAATGATTTTAAGTTGGTAGCACATAGCAACAAACATTTTTCCTATTATCTATTACTTTTTTGTAAGTATTATTTTATATTCTACATTGTAAGAAATTATACCCGACAATAGAGTTTGATGAATAAAGCTCTTCAAAATGACACATCTAAAAAAAGATGGCTCCTCTATGGCTACTGAAACTTAAAAAATTATGGTATATTTATTGGACAAAAAATTGATTTATGTTATACTTATATTTATAGTATAACATTTTTATTTTAAATAATGTTTGAATTGTTCTAAACTTTTAATTGATTATTAGGAAAAATTGAGTGCTAAAAAGGTACAGTATGAAGCTACGACTTTATCTCATGGTTCTATTAATGTGGACGAGATTGAAAATCAAGTTATTGTTGAAGTTTTTGGTCCTGAAAGATATGGTCGAGTTCGTTGTCAGAGATCATTCGTTAGACCAACAAAATTTTTTAGATTCAAATCGTCTCAGTACATGTCATCACACAACCAATCTTCTCATTTAGACGTTAATCGATTAAAACAATAGTTGACTCAAGTGGATGAAAAATTTACAATAATTTCCCATAAACACTATTTCTCTATTTTTTTTCCACCATTTTCACTAATATTGTCCTATTAGTATGACGGCTCTATTTTAATATTAATTAAACTACTTTAATTTATTTTAGAAAATATTATTGACTAGTAATTTTAGCTTGATTCCAATTAATAAAGCAATAACATCAACAATGAAGAAATACGGTCTTGAAAGGTTTCTCTCTATATTTACCAGTAATATGTCAATTTATCTTGATTCCAAATAACAATTAAAATGATTTGTGAAAGGTTTGTTACTTATTCAAGTTGATCAATTAATAAGCATTTGATGCAAAAAATGTTTTTTATTTTTTTTATTTTGAAGATCATTAAATGTATAAAATATATAATGATAAAATTTAGGCTCATTTAAATGATCGTTTTGATCTATATTCTTTTTATGGAGTATTTTAGTCTTAAACATTTTAATTTTTCAAAAATAATCAATATTAATTGGAAATCATTAATTTACTAACGATCAATGCATGACATGACATTTCTACAGATGTGACACATCATCACTTTGATAATGTGGCATGTGATTAGTGGCGGATTTACATCAAGCTTAAGGTGGACACGTGCCAACTCTAAAATTTAAATTTTCTTCGATTAGTTATTAACACATATATGTTCACCTTTAAAAATATTTATGGATCTGCTACTGCATGTGATATGTCATCAATTAAGTGCAATGAAAATATTATATAAACAACAAATATTAACTATTAGTGAAATAATATTTTTCATCTAACTTGAACTACTTTGACAAAAAATTAAAGATTAAAATGCTCAAAAAAAATAGAATCAAAATGACCATTTAAACGATCTCGGCTAATTATATGATTATGTCAGAAAAACACAATAATATATGTAAGAAGGCATTTTGATAAAATAATAATTTTTTTAAAAACGGCTGTGATTATTTTACACGGTGGGTAATTCATAATTCTAACTGTCGGAGGTCTTCTATTCTCAACCTGACGTTGGGGGCAGCCTACTATCCTACCTCCCCTTATCCCATTATATATGGGAATAGGTTAGCTAATTTATACATTTTAACCTAAACCTGAACCTTGGCGGCTGCTTCTTATTCTTCTTCTTCTTCCTTTGTCTTCTTGGATTCTTCGACAATACTGTTTTGTTCCATCCAAGATTCCACCTTTTCTTCCACTTCCTCTACCTGCATTTTTTACGTTTTAAAACAATTCATTACACGTATAGTTGTAGAAAATAATTATTTTAAACTATTAAATAAAATTGATCGAGTGATTAAAGATACTCTGTTATTTTATCTTATATGTGGGTTCGAATTCAATATTTAGCTTGAATGCAATATCACTTGATAAAAATGAAGACCAAGTCAATTTTTTTTGGAACATATTATCGGAATATTATATCATATGGTTTCTTTTTCAATATCTAAAAACTGTAAATTGTCATGTTTTTCAATAAACCCATTGCTAATAATGAATTGAATATGCTTAAACGACAAGTAATAGGTACATAGCAATGAACAAGAAAAGTAACCTTGTCAATGAATTCCCCTGCAAAGCGTGCACATTCAGCAGTATTTTGAGCCATATCTTCAACCAATTCAAGGGCATCTTTAAGTCTGCCTTCTGGCAGATGGTTTCCCATATCATCCGCCACCTTCTCCACTTGCTCCGCCACTTTTTCAACAATGTCCGTCACCGCTTCTACTCTGTCTATTACTGTTTCAACTTCATCTGTACACATATATAAAACAATATAGCGTTAACATATATATATATATATATATATATATATATATTGAGGAGAATGCAATTTGAATTAACTTATTATATACCCAAACCTTTCCATTTTAGCAATGGCCCCCATTTGCTCCTCCAAAAGGGTAAGACAATACTCATCAGAATTCCCAAAACCCATAGTTTCCTGTTGGAAAAAAAAAGTATATAATGTCAAGATTCACTCTGAGGTTTGATAAAATAATTATTTTGATTTTTATTTCTATTGAAGCACTTTAGTCCTCAATATTTTATTTTAGGATACAATTTTTTCATGTCATTATTTATGTCCCAAACTCATACTCTAACATTTGATGTATGTCACGTCATCATTTATGTACATGTGATATGTCTCACGTCTTCACTTTGGACGCATAAGACTTGTAAAATGTAACGTCAATAACAAACATTGACCATTAGTTAGCTAACGGTCTTCATCCAACTATGGGTCGTTTTACCCAAAATGAAATATGTAGCAAAGTGATTATTCAAGTAGATGTTATGGACATTTTTCGGTATTATGCCAAAAAAAATTAGAATATAACATTTCTTTCGTTTTATTAATTGCAAAATAAAAAAAATGTAAAAATAATGTTAGATATATAAGACTAACCAGGAACCAGGACCAGGATTAGAAGGAAATGAAGGTCCGGACCCAACACTGCAACAAACGACCATGTTCTTGTCTGTGTCAGCATGTTGCAACCTAAGAGCAGTGCCCAGCGATTGCAGATTCTGAATCCTCGGAATATGATGTTTTGCCTTGTGTTTTGCTATCACCAAGGAATGACTAAAACCTATAATGGCAAGATGAACTTTGCACCGACAGATCGATGCTGAAATACTCGACATATCCTCGTATTATTACAGCTTTTCCTTAATATCTGTGAAATGAACTTAACGCTAATGTTAGAACAGGGGGAAAAAAGGAGAGGGAAAAAAATCTCAGTTGATGGAAAATACAAGCTTTTCTTGAACAAGTTATTGCGTGTTTTTGTAGACATGGGTGTTTTAGGTGGAACAGGAAGGAAGACAAATATTGTGAAGTCAATGAACCCTAATCCTTGTTTGCATGCTGGATTTCTTATTATATATTTCCATGTTTCTTAGAAGTTTCTTCCTAATTGAATTGAGCTGTCCACGTGTTGTAATGGAATAATGTCTTGGGAACCCTTATATTATTTGAAAATGTCAAATATGGTATCTGAATTGTAAAAATGTTGCCTAACTAAGTACTAAAAGTTTATGATCAATCTATCAGGTTTCGTTTCTTGCCACTGACATCTTTCAAGAAAATGGTGATCTGGTAGTCAAGGACGGATTCATGAATTTATGTCAGGGGTACGAATTGAATAAATTATATTAAAAATTTATGGATGCGAAATTAGAAAATTATATAAAATACAAGAAAAATTCCTAAAATATAAGGAACTTTAAAATTTCTTAGAAAATTCTTAAGATGAATAAAGTCCGTAACCGAAAAATATCTTATAATTTCTGTTTCCTACTTACACAAATCAGATATTTGGATCCAATATAAATTTTAATTTAACAAAAATAAATAAATTTAAAGTTAATATTTTGAATAAATTAACTTGATTATTCTTCACAGCAAGTTTAAACAATACCTCTATTATATCTGTTATATCTCTTTTATACTCTTTTTTTTTCACAGCATGTTTAAAGTCATATTTTTCACCATGCATTTTAAACAGTCTTCCAACGCAAGCCTTTTTACTAAAACAACAATGTTAAATTAGCTTATTCATTCTGCAAGGATAGGCTGGGCTTTTCAGGCTAGTGGCGTTGCTGGCAGGGTAGGCTCTTCTAAAAGCTCATTTTGCTGATAATTCAAAAATGAAATTTAGTCTATCTATATCTAATTTGATTATGAGTTTTCTCGAATACCTAGTTTGAATTATCCGAAAATAAAAAAATGAATCGAATATCAAATTGTAGTATTAAATCAATGGATTAGATCGATTATATTGAATTTTTTACATACCCCTGTAGGTAGGAACAAAAAACTTACTGCTACAAAATCGTATCCATTAGTTAATTAATCTAGATTATATATCATAAATATTATTACGAAGATGATCTTTTTAACTTATTTTATTTTAGTTAGTAGGGAGAAATATTGCTAATTGATTGAAAATGAGGGTCTGAGAATTAGAAGATTGTCAACACAAAATGAGTCCTCACCCTTTTTAACCTAAATCAGGGTTTAAAGGAATCAATATTGTTTCTAGAGATCGCGGGTTCGACCACTAACGACTACAATATGATGATTGAACGTTCATTTTCAAATTGTTGAGAGTGTTTAAAATAAATATTACTTTGTAATTATCTTAGCTTAATTAAAAACAATCAGGGTTTAACCTATTGATGAATAAAGGAGCGTTATGGGCACAAAAAAGCTTAGGTCCAAATATAAAATTAGAAGATTATTAATGCTATGTAGTTCACTTTTGACTTCCAACTTATATATATGCATAACAACAACCGGTCATGAGTTAGATCGTTTTGAATTAACCTAATATTCTCCAATAAGCTAGGAGATTACTGACGGTTTGATTTTTCAAAGGCAAAGGTGATGCCATTTTGTTTTTGACTCCTCAAATACAGTCCATTGGCTCTTTTATTTTATATTGCACAATAAAAAATAATTTTGGGGCACCTTACGGTGGCCGGTGCATATCGAAAAGGGTTTTCAAAGGCACCATAAGACTCCATTAGTTAAGACATTCAGTCAAATGATATGATATATCATCTATTATATTCAATGACGGATGCATGATTTTATGTTATGAGGAGCAAACTTAAATTATTAAAATTTTAAGAATGGCGAACTTAAACGTATAAAAATTTAAGGGATGAAAACATATTTTCAATAAAAAATACATATAAAATCTTAAATATAAGTAAAAATATAAGGTAATTTTATATTTTCAGGGCAATTTCCCTTCGCCCCCTCGGTCCATCCCTGATTACATTCAGTATTGGACTCAAAAATATTTTTAAGGTTGAACACACATATATTAACAATATAAAATTTGTGTATGTGGAGTGGGAACAAATAAGAATTTTGGGTGGATACGATCAATAATATAAATAACTAATCGAACATAATTTAATTTTTCAAGAAATACATTTACCCCTAATATAGTATACATTCCCTGTAACTAAATCTTGAGTTCATTATTTGTTCAAGAATATGTGCCACATGACTCTTTATACAGTTACTTTTATAAAGTGTTATTTAGATCAGATGTACCTAAGATTTAATTTTGGGATGAATATATGTAGGGATGGCAAATATTCTTGAGTTTATTTAGATCAGTTAGTGTTATTTAGATCAGATGTACCTAGATCAGATGTACCTAGATCAGATGTACCACTTTGCGCGAAGCTTTTATGAGTTATCGCGTTATAGGAACATATATCGCATACCAGAATAAGAACAGGAGAAATAGCATGGCAACCTTTGGCTTTATGAGTTTCAAAGACCAAGATAGTGTAAAGGAAGCCATCTCCAGAGGAGACGATAGGAAGATGGATGGTTTTATCGTCAAAGTTTAAGCTGCTCAAGAATGGTGTGTGTATCTGAAACCAGGTGGTATGAAACCAAGTTCAAGGCCAAGAATCAAAAGAACTTTAAACCCTTCCCATGTCGACGAAAGGTCGTACAAGGATGCTATATCGGTGCTGGAATGAGCCGGTGCTTTCTGAGTCGAGTTTACCTATCCCACAAGAAAGTCAAGGGGCATTTGTAGTTTCTGATGAAGAGATAGATTACAGTAACCCTGAAATTCTTGAAGTTGACGTCCAGGTTGAGAAGAACCTGATTATATCGAACCCTGATCCTAACCTAACCCATAAGCATATTGAGGAGCCATTTCATAGGTCGATTCTTTCAATGACTTTTCCTTGAATTTCTCCACGAATAGACTCCCTGAAGACGATATGAATTGGCTCCAGTTGTGTTTGGCTATTAGTTAAAGGTATGTACAACCTTGAATTTGTTCAAGAATTGCTTTTATCGAAAGGCTTCAAGCCTAAGGTCTGCCCTTGGTTCGGATTGAATGTTGTTCTTCGTTTTGATTCCTTAAATGATCTTAAACACTGTTGGTCTAATCGAACTATTCTACTAACCTTGTGCCTTGATTTTATGGAGCCTCTAAACGACTTTGAAGATAAGAGAATGGTTAAAGCATGGGTAACTTTATCAGACGTGCCTTTGAAAGGCTGGCATGAAGAGTTTTTTTTACTGAGCTGGTGGGTAAGTGGGGCGAGATCATCAAGGTCGATTAAGAGACTTATAGTGTTGAAAGAACTCAATAACCGAGAGTTTGCAACATAGCTAGAAACAGATAACGCTCTTCTTCATTGATTCCTTCAACCTTACATGTCTTATATAGCTAACAAACTACAAGATTCAACAAGAGTGCAAGAGACTAACTGCACTACAACTACACTAACAAAATTCTAACTTCCTAACAACAATAACTGCTGTAACTCCTCAAGCAGTGATCTGATGCACATGAAACTAGAACGTTCGATGAACGTCAGCAGTAAACTAGAACGTTACACGAACGTTAGTAGTGACTACCATGCACGAGCGAACCAGCGTATCACGCACTAGTATATCAGCACCATACTTCAACATTCCTCCTGCTTTCTCTCCTCTCCTTCTTTTCAGCATGGCTTCACACATAACTTCTCACGAAATTCTTCAAAGGCATTTCGTGCTAGAGGTTTTGTTAATCCATCAGCAATATGATGGGCAGCTGGTACATAGTTGACCTTCATCAGTTTGGCAGCAACCTTCTCGCGTACGAAATGTATGTCCAAGTCAACATGTTTGGTGTGAGCATGATAGACTAGATTGGCGCTGAGAGCTACAGCACTGGTGTTGTCGCACCATATGACAGGCTCCTCTTTCTGACATATACCAAGTTCAGTCAGCAAGGCTCCAACCCATACTTTTGCTTCCATGGTGGATCTCGACACAGACTTTTGCTTTTTTGAGCTCCATGCAACAAGATTGCTTCCAACAAACACACTATGCCTAGAAACGGACCTCCTGTCATCAAGGTTGCCTCCCCAGTCGGCATAAGCAAAGGCAGCCACCTTCACACCAGCTCCAGCAGCAGTGAAAGTTAGGCCAAAATTCAATGTACCAGCCAAGTACCGCAGGATTCGCTTAATTGCAGCCAAGTGGGACTGTCGTGGAGCATGCATGAACTGGGCGACTTTGTGAACACAAAAAGCAATGTCAAGTCTTGTATGGCACACTTACAACAACCCTCCAACAATGTTGCGATAGAAGTGAGCATCGGAAATGAGTTCTCCATCGTCACAATGTAGTTTGGTAGTTGCCACCATAGGAGTTGGTGTTGAAGAGGCTTTCGACATACCAGCTTTCTCAAGGAGTTCCATGATGAACTTCTACTATGAGAGTGCAAGGTAGCCATTAGTTCGTTTGACTTCAATTCCCAGAAAGTATGCGTGCTGCCCCAAATCTTTTAGGGAGAATTTGTCACTCAGTAACTGAACTACTTCATCGATTCGAGCACTCGAGTGGCCTGTGATGATGATATCATCAACATAGACAAGCAAATACACATAGTGCTGGCCATCGCTCTTAATGAACAACGACACAGCTGTTCTTGATTCTTTGAATCCAATGCTCAGCAAGCTATCTCGAAGCTTAGTATGTCAGCTCCTTGGTTCTTGCCTCAATCCATACAACGCCTTTTTCAGGGAGCAAACCATACTGCTTCCATCGAGGGCATTTTGTTCGAATCAGGGCGGCTACTGCATAAAGACCACCTCTTGTAAGTCACCATTCAAAAAGGCGTTGTTCACGTCAACCTGCCTTAGGGTCCATTTGTTGGTTACAGACAATGAAAGTATGACATTCAGTGTGTTGAACTTGACTACAAGACTGA